ATAAAATAAACACAACTCTAGAGTTCAAACCAGCTAACCCTCTGTCTCCTTTCACTGAAGATGTTGATTGGAACCTAGGCTATGTTACCCTCTAGTAACTGTAAAGTTTTCTGAATTTACAATAAAATTTTCAAATAGTCTTTGTTTTGGAAATGCATCTGTTCCTTTAAAGAGGACAAAGGTACCACTGCCCTGTGCTTCCAGTGACGTCATGTGGGGAAATCCCGGCCTCGATTCTAAGGTATCTGTAATGAGGTGTGCTGCACAGGTAAAAAGTAAAGATAGAAAGGAAAGAACAATATAAAGAACCAACGTGCAAAATCTAAGAAAACTTCTTGCTTTCAGGATTTTTGTTTTTTTCCTTGGAAGGTCACAAAGAGCATGTAGGCTTTGCTAGGAGTTATTCGCTGAGTTTTAAAATCCCTTTGTCTATATGTATTTAAAATCTAACATACTGAAAACCTAGTTTAAGGTGATAAACTTTCATCAATATAAAGTAAAATGTAAAATTACAAGCACATTTTCAATTCTTGGATAGAGTGCTGAAGCTCTATTTCTAGAATTGGTGAGTTTTGTTCTCTATTTCCATGTATAAAAGATCTCACAGTCTTGGGGAAACACTTTTTTTAAAAAATGAAATACAACAAATAAGGTATGCTGCCGATTCCTGGGGGAGAAGTTTCCCAGAGTCTTTGAATTTCCTCCTATCTTCCTTCTTTACAAGATTTCTAAGACCAAGTCCTTTACTACAGTCTCTCAAACAAGGTAAAAAAGAAAAATACCCCCTAGATATATTCCTTAGATTTTCTATTATGCTTCTCAAGTTCCCAGTAGCTTCTGAAGTAAACCTAAGATGAATCTGGAGTTATTTTTTATTATGTTTTAATTTTAGTTCCTCTTTAAGGTCTAAGATGAAATAGAGGATCATAACTGCTATGCTTGAGGATGCATTTCATGGCACAATTCATACATGACCTGTGCAAGGTCAGTCATGGAAAAAGGACTGACATGATAGATGACAAGTGGAATCCAGCTTTCAGTCTGGGAGGACTTCAGGGTAACCTATTTAAGCTTGCTCTACTAGTATTTAGTGCAAAATGGCAAAAACATTTCTGTTTAAACAGTACCTATTTGATGTATTTTGTACAGGGATCTCACTCTGGCTTGGCTAGTGTCATTTAGAGATATAGGAGGGATTATTGCTCAAATCACTGACCATTAAGGGTCATTTTTTGTCACATTGTGAGCCTTGGTGATTGTCGAAAGACAGCCTAAACATCGCCCACAGGATCCCGGGTTCTAGCCACATCACGTTTTTTTACACCTCAAATCTTTGCATTTCACTCTGGCCCCTCGCACCCCCCCCCCCACCCTGCTGCCACCATTTAAAACATAACTCTCCTGCAAATCCTTGATACCCCCAAGTCAGGTTGGTTATTTCCTTCTCTGTGTACTCATAGAGCTTTGTACCTACCTCTACTAGAGCACTGATCAGATTATATTATAATTATTTGTCTGTTGTCTCCACAACTAAATATGAAGGCTTGTACATTTACCCCGGACTGGCTGTGTGCTGGGCAGTGTTCTAAGCACTTTAGATATGTCTGCTCTTTCATGTACATCACAACCCTTTGAGGTAGACATTAGCATTACCTCCACTTTACAAATGAGGAAACTGAGGCACCAGGAAGGAAGTCATTTTCCCACAGACACATAACTAGTGAGCGTGGGAGGTTGAACTCAGGCAGCCTGACTTCAGAGTCTGAGCTTCTCCTATTATTCTTTGTGTTTGCCTAAGGGACTAAGGGAGGTGGTTCATAAACATTAAACAAATAAAAAGAATGGTCATTCTGATTTCTCCATAGTTTCCTAAGCTTAAATTTAGAAACACATTTTCTTTGTCCTAAAATTGATTTCACCTTCTCCCTGGACTGTGGATGAGTTCACTTGTCCAGAGAAACCTCGCGCAGACCGGGGACGAAAAAACAGCTGGGAGGGAGCAGGCCTGGGGTTTGCTGGCTCTGCCGTGTCCATGTCTTAAGGCCTCAGCACCTCCCCCAGGTCCTGCATCCGTGACACCTACAACAGCCGCTCCCCATAGCTGCTTTGAGATGTACTGTGTGCACAGTGTGACCTGAGATGCTTCGGAATAGAAATACCATTAACAAGAAAAACACGAGTTATTCTTTATAAACTGACCTGCCTTGAGGAAGACACTTTCACTCTGGGGACATTTCAGATAGAGAAGGTTTTCATTGTTGTTGTTTGTTTAGCACCCAAATCATTAGGAACTGGATGTGTTTATTTTTCCTCTTAATGTTTAAATTGCTACCTCTTTCGTGTTGTGTGAAAATCCGGGTTGTGGGAGAATCAGGCACCCCTGCAGGAACAGTGGTTCCCAGGAGCCGTGGAAGGCGATTCTGGGGCCCCACCCAGGAGGTGCTGGCCCACCTGGGGCAGGGCCCGGGCAGGCGGTCCTCTTTCTGAGAAATGCTGGTATTGTCTCGCTGTTGATAATACATACTTTCTCCTCATTGGGTTATCGTCTTTATTCCATCTCAGTACTCCCCTCCAAAAGGAGCTAATTTTAAAGTGTCAGATTCAAATTGGCCCTGGTGGACAGAGCTATTCATTTCAACCCGGGTCCGTTACAAATTTAGGTGCTTGCACCACCTCCGCAGTTCCACTTCAGCGCCCCCTCGCTGCACTCTACACCACAGCCAAGAACGCGTTTTCTTATGCTGGAAATCAGTGATGTCATTCCCCCCAAAAGCCCTTGCCCTCTGCAGACCCTGCACCTCCTCCCGCTCCTAATCACACTGGCCTGCTCACACTGGGCTGTCTCTGACAGAAGCCTTCCCTGGTGTCCTCATCAAAACCACTGCTCCCAGCCCAAGGTCTGGGTGCTCCCTTTTCCCTCACAGCACATCGCAGTCTCATAAGGCAGGATTATTAGATTTAAGTCTGGATCGCCACTTCGCCCTAAGCCCCACGAGACTGGCACTGAGGCAGCCCATCACCCTGCCCTGCCCTGTGCAAGGCCCGAGAGAGGCAGTGCTCCAGGAGGCGATGGAAAAGGACTTTGCGGCCAAAGCCTTCCCATCCAAATCCCAGCCCTGCTACTCAGCACCTGTGTGACCTTAGGCAGGTTACTCAACTTCTCTGGGCCTCTGTTTTCTCCATAAAAGGTCTACCTTAGGCTTGTGTGAGAATTAAACGAGAGAATGTGCTATAGAACAGTGTTTGGCATGCGAAAGGCTTTTAAAAAGTAAGCACTCAGTATATTTTTGTTAAATAAGTAAAACATAATAGAGTTTTGCCCTAGCTGGTTTGGCTCAGTGGGATAGAGCGTTGGCCTGTAGACTGAAGGGTGCTGGTTCGATTCCAGTCAAGGGCACATGCCCGGGTTGTGGGCTTGATCCCCAGTAGGGGGCGTGCAGGAGGCAGCCAATCAATGATTCTCTCTCATCATTGATGTTTCTATCTCTCTCTCCCTGTCCCTTCCTCTCTGAAATCAATAAAAATATATTAAAAACATAATGGAGTTTTTCGTTGTGCCCTGTCTCCTCACCACTGCCCAGTGGAAGCATCCGTCCAGTAGAGTTCTCCCTGCAGTCTGTGCCCTAAAGGGGCTCCTCCCCTTCTGCCCCAGGAGTCCGCAGACTCCGCTCTCCCAGCCGCATGATTAGCTCCAGCTTTGATCCTTTCATCACATCACTTCCTAGAAATGTGTGCTCATGAACCACACCACCCCTCTTCCTTCCTTCAAGTATTTCCTGAAATGTGACCTCCTCCGTGGAACCTTCTTCAAGAGGAACTGAGCTCATCATTCTATCTGTTTCCAACAAATAAGTTAAAGGTTGTTGTTTGAGGTTCCAAAGCTATAAATTGTCTGAACTTTCCACTGGACAAATGGTCTCACCGTCTCAGGGCAGGCTGGGTTTCTCCTCTGCCTGCACTTAAGAATGAGAGTCTAAGAGGGCAAAGGGTTTGTTTAATTCGCCCGGTACGCATTTAGCACAGTGCCAACCGGCATGGATGCTGAGTAAATGATTGGGTGACGATTTAATTAATGACTTTGTCCATGCCAGGAATAAAACCCTGAACCCTTAAATCTGTTTCCCCTGTGTTACAATATGTTCTGATGCTGAGTCTGTTATGAAACTGGTTTTCTGCATTTACTTTCACAAAAGAACAAATACAAAAGAAGAGAGAAATTACATGAAAATGTCAAATTAATAAAATTACTTTCTACATCAAGAGTCAAAAATACCTTTATAACGTGGTATTAAAAGGTGCCTCATAAAAATAAAATAAAACAAAATAAAGTTTAATTGCATATGCTTGAAGAGTTATTTTGTAATTCTGAAATGGATAACCAAAACATGTCAATACTCGATTTTAAAGTACTTGTTGTATTCGGTGCATGTGCCATTATGGAGAACTTACACTCAGAGCAGAAAGATTTGTAGCAAAGCATATGACCTTCTTCCCACTACAATGACCATCCCCTAATTAGGCAATGCATCTGATAGTCATTAACAGGAATGAGATAATGAATCACTTTCTCTCTTCTTTGTTAATTTGCTGTAACCAAGCGGCTAATGGATGTCAGAGCTGAGTGATTGCACTGATTATAGTGATTTATAGTTGCAACAAAACAATTTAAAACCGTTCTGATTATTCATGTTTAAGATGCTTTATGTTTTGTTTACTAAATGTTTTATGTCCCCCTTCCTCCTACCCTGAAAGTGCTGTCTCCCTCCTACCCTGGCACTTTCCACAAAAAGACCTGCTCCTAGAAAACCTGGAAGTCGGGGGCTTTTTTTACTGTTTAAAGCCATTTCATTTTGTTTACATACATCGCTCTCTCTATATAGATATATAAAGTGTACACAATAGGAAAGAAAAGCCTTAGGGCTGGAGAGAAAACTTCAGTGGTGCCTCGTTCAAAAGAAGACAGAAATAAGAGGAAATAAGGCAAACTTCAAGCTACTTACCTTGGGGCTTCCAGTCCCTTCCGCACCCTCCACAGACACATCAGTGGCCAGGATCTCGGCTTTGATGGTATCCAGAGCCCTGAGAATCCAGCTGTGCTGCCGTTTGATTTGCCTCTGCAGCTCCTTCCACTGACTCGCAATCATCCGCAGCATGTCCTTTAGTCCTTCTCCAAAGGAAGGGGAGAGCACAAGTCACGGACTTGACTGCACTTGTACCCTATTATTCTTTATTTAGTAAATTAGGTGGTTTAACAATAAACGTCATTTTTAATGATCATTACCCTCACCTGCCATATTAGCATTTGTCACTCGGAATAGAGACTGGGAATTTTTGACTTGACATAAGGCATAAGGACACGAAAATTGTAATACCATATTGATTCATGGTTTGGGATTGACTGGGATTCAGTACATTGACTAAAAAATTGCATGTGGAAGAAAAATCACAATATATAACAATTATTAACTATAGCTTCACATTCCTAATAAAAGGTCCTGAGTGTATCTGTGTGGAGATGTAATAATGATCAGAAAGATATATGGAAATAGGTAAAGTTAATTCGATGAGAAATACAGTAAATGGGCCAGAATTAAGAAAGCAGTCTTTAGCATTAGCACATCCGATTAATGCTGCTCTTTTCTTATTTAGCTGTGGTAAGCTCAAAGCCAGAGCCAAATTGTAATTCATCCTGTCTTACGGTCTTTTACTACCAGGATAAGTACAACCAAATGACAAAACTATTTTTTATTTATAATCTGTTCCTCATGAATACATTAAAACCGGGGTAAGAATTGGTATAAGGCCAAAATTCTGCTAATACAATGACCAACAAGGAACATGCAAGACGTTCCTGTGTGTGAATTGGCAGGGAAATAATCAGATATCTCTAGCCTGCCAGCTTTGTATCTGTAATGATATCTATGAGTATCTCAGTGCATATGCATCATAACTAAATGCACAATTCTCATTCATTATCTTAAAGTTATTTCCAGAGCACCTACATCAAAAAGCATGTCAATGTGAAGTTTTCAGGAATGTGATTTCAACTGAAACTCAGGCGAACAGCGAGCCCAAAATACAATGAACAGACCATTTGGAGGCAGTATTTCATCTTGTAAGTATCACCGCATTGTGTGCAGTATATGAAACATTTATAAATCCTGAAGGTCAATCTGATAATGTAAATATTAATAATACATAAGGAGGTGAATATATGCAGTAATTTACAGCAATGCTTCTTCATTCTTAATAGTCCGGAGACATAAAGACTTGCCATATTTCAGGAGGATTTACCTGCTTTGTGAGATGCAATGAGCTCGAGAAGCTGGTGTCCTTCCTCCTCCACAGCTTCCTTGAGAGCACAATGACTGTCTACATTCAACTTAAAACTCTGTAAGGACAGAGATGAGCATCAGATCCTGGCAGGGTAGTTTATATGAAACATCCCTACAAAACGACTTGCTGCTTTTTATCAGCAACTACAGAGTCCAAGTTACTCAATAGACAAACTAATTTGCAATACTAAAAGCTATTGATATTTGGGATCTGGGCTCAGACTGTTTCCATTAGATTAGCAGAGTGCATCTGTTTGGAAACAGCTGACAAATCTAGAAGTTCATTGGGTCTTTATGAAAAGTCACATCCCATAGGCTATATCAAGGGTGGCAGTATTCTACAAAATACACTGAAATCCTACTAGCACATATGAATTCCTTTTTTCACTTATTAAAAATATTAGTAATAGCACTACTTATGAAACCATAAAAATTTGGCAGCATAAATTTATTAGCCTTCTGTGCACATATATAACTCCATTAATATAGTAGATATTCAGCTCTGTTTCTCAGATATCATGCAAACCATAGAGTATGGGGGTGGGTTTGGGTGCTATAGTGAGGAGTTGAACGCTTTCATATCTTTGATTTTTAAATGTTTATTTCTTACAATGTGATACTGCTTTAAAAATGAATAAATCAGGCATATCAGGGGCATGATAGTCATCCAAACAAGAAAACCTGATGTCATGGCTGAATTCCAACTCAGAGCCACTTCATTCAGGCAGCCTTCCCTAACCCTTACACGGAGATAATTACCCCCTCTCTCTGTTACCTCTGCTCTTTATACCTGCTTCTATTGTAGACTTTATCAGACTGTATTCTCTTTTATTTCTGTACTTGGCTACCAAATTATAAGCAATTTGAAAGACTTGCCAGTTTCACATTTATCTCCAACTCATGTCACATATGAAATGTTTGATAAATGTTTGTGGGAATAATGGGTATCTGTTGAACTGTGTGAGTCGCACTCTGTGAAGGTGAAGGTTTCCATTTCAATATTTCGAGAAACACAGATGGTTTTCCAAATATTTTCCCATCTCTGGAATGTTATAAGAAGTTCCAACCATAGGAGGTCCAATAGAGAGTAATTATAGTAACCAATCTGTTCAACCAATGGTTAGTCTTCAGGATAAAAATGTACTCCTTCACTTGACTAATTGGAATGAACAGGGATTCTGAAATAATTGCATGCCAAATTTTGGTTTCTCTGTGATAGGGCTCCAAATTATACAACATATTTTGCTCCCACTAAACACTGAGCCATAGCTGTGTGCATTGCACTGAACTTAGTATTAAGAATATTTGCAGAAGTTCAAGATGGTACAGTCCCAGTTGGAATAAAATTTGGACAAAAGAGGTTAAACAACCATAAATTGTGAAATTTGGTATTCATTCATTTATAAACTATGTATTGCTCCTATTCTATATACCGTGACGGGTAATAGCAATTGAGCAGATATAAAACATGGCTTCTTGCATCAAAGGGCACTTGCCGTGTTACAGGAGAAGGATGTGTAGTGGTGAATCTGGGCTCTCCTGTTTTTAGTGGGAAAAGAGGGTCTTTTTAAAGCTCAGAAGAAAAAGAGCATCAAAAAATCAGCCCTAACTGGTTTGGCTCAGTGGATAGAGCGTCGTCCTGCGGACTGAAGGGTCCCAGATTCAATTCCGGTCAAGGGCATGTACCTTGGTTGCGGGCACATCCCCAGTGAGGGGGTGTGCAAGAGGCAGCTGATCGATGTTTCTCTCTCATGAATTTTTCTAACTCTTTATCCCTCTCCCTTCCTCTCTGTAAAATCAATAAAATATATTTCTTTTAAAAATCAAAAGAAATGGAGATAGGGCCAGGCAGATCAGGCCTTGAGGTATAAAAATAAAAATTTTGGCTAAAAAAATTGACTCAAAAATTCATCTGACTAGAGGCATCAGAAATAGCAAAGTTTCAGACAAATATGACAGAAAGAGACAGTATTGGGTTTCCCAAGGGTTGTTCACTATTTCTTGTATTTTCCTCTTTCAGTTACAGGTACTTGGTTGAAGAAAATAAAGTATGGCAATGTATGGGAAGCCTGATGCTTCTGGTCAATCCATAGCATATAATACCTATGAAAAATGAAGTATCTATTCTTTTATCACTAAAGCATGGCTGCATTTACTTTTTGCCCCTGCAGTGGAAAGACCCAACTCTGAAGTAAGGCCATGCAGAATGAGGTACACGTGCATCTCAGGGAGAAGGGACAGGAAAAAGAAAAACCCTGGAGACCCACTCCATAGTGCCAAAATCTAGGAAGAAACCTATTCTAGATATTTCCTCATGACTGTAAAGTTAGCTCGTGCTGGTGATCATGAGCTTGGGAAGGGGTGTGTCAGGCCCTTGTCTCAGAGGAGAACAGAACATAAGGACCTGTGAGATGGTTGGATAATTTGACATAATCCAGGCCCCAAGAGTATAGACTATTTGCAGCTGGATCTGATTCTGCCTCAAGATGATATGGAAGTGCTTGATTAAGAAATTGGAAAAGATGAGGTATTCATTATTAGAAAAAGATAAGCGGATAAGCTTGATGCTGTAGAAAAGAACCATTTAATATAACTATTACCCAAATGGTACAATATTGCTTGATTTTCAGGTGCACCCATTAACTATTAATGTTATCAGCTAAGGAATTCACAATGGGCCTCTGAGAAGGCAGCCAAGCAGGCACATTAACAAAATTGTCAATGAAATTTCTGGCAGCTAAAGGATTCTGTAATAAGCTCTCCCTATTCTACCCCCACCTCTTCCCTAGGGAAGGAAGCTTAGACAAAAGGGATTTCTTTTTATTTGCCTTGAACTTGACACTTGGACATATTTCCATTCTTGTGCTTCTAACACATTTCCTCATCGATGCCTCATGGCATATAGTCCCTCTGAAACACCCATAGCACTCCCCGAGAATGCAGGCCATTTTCTGGAGATTTAATTTACAGCAACAACATTGCCATAGACAGAAACCACAGACCTATGTCACTGATGATGTGAAATTCCATAAATATGAGTAAACTGGGTCCTGTGGGACACCACATCTTTTTGCTATCTTTACAGCAGCAGGTAAGTGAATGTCTAGAAGAGAATGATAAGGAGATGGAAAATACAGTGACTGAGACAAAGGACTAGATTATCAACAAGATGGCCCATCTGTGGTTGACCAATGGATATTTCCATGACTGCAGCCTAGCCTCGCCAGCTTGTCCAGATCTGGCTACTTACTCCTTGGCAGGATCCAAATTGTGGTAACCATACTGATTGTACTTGGATCACGATCAAACCTTACAAAGCAGATAAATCCTATTCTATTCAAATTTCTGCAGAGCCCAGTTTGATGGAAGGGTGGAGGTCATGTGGAGATGAAATGAAACCAAGGACATGTATGCCTTGATGGACAAAACTATGACAAATGTGAAGAATAATTCTCATGAGGGATCATAACAGATACGGATATCCTGGCACAGGAAGTAGTGGGAATGAGCATAATCACATTCAGAGGCTTAAAGATTCAAAGTGGTCCAGTCTTAGCAGCGTCACATCACAAACACAGACTCTCAGCCATCCCCATGGAACACTGCTAGTATCTGCTGGCTCCATTGAGGTCCCTGTGCTTTATAATGTTTGTGAACAGAAAGGCTAAAAAGAGTTATTGAGGTGGATTAATACCATAGCTATTTTTTGAGCAGTCTCTGCCAGGCCTATAGATACAAAGTTAATACAAAACCTTGGTACATGCAGCCTGTAGTCTGTTGGGTAAAATAAGAGAGCAAGTAGCCTCATAGGACCCAGCAAAGAGTAAATGTGTCCTTAGGGTTTGGTGTATAATAGAGAGCAGTGGGGCCTTAAGCAAACTGAACAATGATGTGCCCTGCCTAATGAGATTTAATTTTTTTTAAATTAAAGCATGATGCTGGCCAAGTAAAAACAGGACTGTGGGCTACATGTGAGTGTGGTAAGTGCTGGGCAGGTGCTGTGGGAGCCCATTGGCATGCAGGCCCGCAGGCGGCCTTCGCTGTAGCAGGAGTCAGGGGCCACCAGCAGCTCGGTGCGACTGGGACAGGTGCAAGCGGGGCAGGTGGAGCTGCGGCTACTCAACTCAAAGAGCCATGAAGGAAGAGGCAGCAGTATGGGTGAGTGACTGATGCAGGTCTGTATTCTAGAAAAATCTCTCCGTGTAGAGTTGATTTTTAAAGGCAGACTGGAGACAAGGAGGCCGGTTAGGAGAGTGCTATGGTAATATAGGCCAGATGTTCCTGCACACTCATATTTTTTTTAATTAAAAAAAGATATGCTTTCTCTTCTAAATGAATGGAAGAAGGAAAAATGGAGACAATCTTTTGTCTTTTTAAGCTTTCTTCAGTGCACGAGAGCAGCATGTGCCAGATCTTAGCTCTTTGGCTGTTCTGATGATAAATACCAGAGGTTATTAGTCAGGAGTCTCCAAAAGTGAAAGACATATTGAACTGATGAACTTTTACTCCCACTGTCATTTTACAGAGACAGTATATATGCTGATGAATAAGGCACTTGATGACACTTCTTCTTCGCACAAAAGATTTTTACTACCCCAGGAAAATGAAAACTTGCTTTTTTACATGGGGGGGGAGGAAGAATGTATGTTTGATCAGAAAAGCACAGGATTGAAGTCACCTGCTACCTGTCTCAGGCCACCTCCGCGGAGGCTCCCCTCTGAGCTGTGCCCTGCACCCTCTTGCATTCCAGGGGTTCTGGATGGGAAAGGAAGTCATGAACCCAGGTCCCCGTGCCACGACTGGCAGACTCTCCCTCCTCCCCCCAATGCCATCTGTAGAGGATGGTCAGAGGGTACTCAAAATATAAAATGCCACCTTACAAATGCCATATGTGCCAGGAATTGAAAGATTTTTATTAGTAAAGATTTCTTTGTTTACTAAAACTTGATAAGACATATAACCATTAAAATGCAGACTATAAAAGCACATGAGAAATACATAGAATATATTAAAAGCCAAAAAAATGAAGTCTCAGTTGTATCTCTGATAAAATTAT